AAAGCGTCTTCAGAGCACCTGAAAAGTGCTTGATAAATACAATTTATAATCATTATTATATATATTTTGTTCTGACGTTGGCAGAGGTAGCCTTCCGAACTAATTTATCCATTATTGAAATTACTTTAACTATATATAGTTACAAAAAGTTGCCAATGATTAATTTTTGGGGCGAACGAGATATAGATTAGTCGACTTATCGTTGCTGCTCTAGAAATAATAATTATTCTTTTTTTTCTTACAGGGTTTTGAAGACAGCTGAACTGTTTAACTGCAGCCGTGCGTCATAACAATTTAAGTCCCTTTAGAACAAACGCTAGCCTGTCTAGCCTGATACAAGAGTGTCTCTTTTATCCCTACAAATAGCAGGGGACCAAAAAAAGTCTCAAAATGAACTACAACACAAAAGGAGTTTCATTTATGATGATGTAAAAAGCAACTACAATGGGGAACTCCCTGACTACTGTGCAGTTAATTGCAGTTGGAGGCTCAGTGGTGCTTCTAGTTTTCCTGCATTCCCGCTCCGCTCTCAACTCTGGGGACAATGTGGCGAGACTCTAATAAAAGCAGACACACAAACTCATCACCCTTTATCACCTTCAACCTCTCCCACGGTGACCTCAGCAGCACTGACGCCTGAGTGCGGAAATATCTCGCTGTCACTTAGAAAGCTGCCGTCAGTTCGGACAATAAGAAAGTGTTTTAGGTTGTGGCGTTTTCTGTCTTTCAATGTGGCAGAAGTGGTTTAATGGCTTTGATCGACAGAAATGTTTTGATGATCGATCCTTGTTTTGTTATTTTTCAGCAAAAATATCTGAAATATATGAATATTCAAAGTTTTATAAACTGTATCTTGCCTTTCACTATCTTCTGATATTTCATGAATCAAATCAATTCATGAAATACATTACACAGGATTTATTGCTAGGAAAATAGTTCCTATAGTTAGCTTTTTTTTTTAGGGTTACGTTCTTTATAGCCATAAAGTATTTTATAATTATTATACATGAATTCATCATGTGTCCCCTTTTGTTGTTTCCTCCTCATTGTGAGTAAATCCAAATATTAATGGTGACGTTTACTTTCTGGTTATATGTATCTTTTCAAAACCAAATGAACTTACGGATTGCAAACAAGAGGCTGTGAATAAAAAAAGATATAATAACAGCCTCCTTTTATATCTTTCATGATTATTCTGCATTATTCTTGGTTTAATGCCAAAAAACCCTCCTTTGTTATTTTCTGCATCCAGTTCAAAGTTGCTGCAGTAACAATATAACTTCCCGCACAATTACACCTCACTTCATCATAAAACTGCTGCGTGACAATTATTCTATTTCTCTGTTGTGCCTCCGGGAGGTTATATGAAGGGCCTATCAGCGAGGATAGTCACTTTCTTGGGCCAAAGACTCATTGGCATTATTTACGACATTCAGACCTCCAAGATGAGCCTCTGTGATCGCGCTGTAAGGACCAACAGCAGTCTGGGGGCAGGGCTGTTTCCCAAGTTCTTCTTCCTGCTTGCACCAACAGGCTGTGAGCTTCCAAGTCTCTGAGCTGCAGGAGGCGAATGGATTGTGACATGGAGATGGCGTCGTGCAGATTGACCATCTTTGCCATTTGAATAATCAGCTTAGTGCGAGGTGAGAGTGCGACGCAGGGAGAGCACACTGTCAGCATCTTGTTATTACGCACAAAGGTCATCGCTTCAGTCCCTGACACTCGGCTTCATCTGATAAACTTCACTCACTCTTTGCTCCCCGGCTGTCCATTCACACACTGCATTAAAGCAGCACTCTGTGGCTCCAAATGTAAAAACGGTTTGGACAACGTGGACTTCAATACCCAGAAATCCTGTAACAAATTGATACTGTTGGCATCACAGCGAAAGAACCAGAGGATATTGTTTCGTTTTCAGTAAGGCCCAGATTTGTCACTTTCTGTGGGCGGGTAAACGAGCATACCAGGCAGGACAATCTCATTTTGGTCAAATTGTCTGAGTCTAAAGCATGTGTGACTGTAACATGTGATTTCTTTGTCTGTTTGTGTCTCTGCAAGGATTGATATTTATTGAGGACAGGATGTGGGAGGATTTATTTGGAGGTGAGTGCAAAACCTATCAATAGTTTATCATGCAGTAATTTGCCTGGAGGTTAGGTGTTTCACCAGAAAATTCATTTGTATCATTTTTATTTCAATTTAAACTTTAATAAATGCATAAAACGTGGTTGTATAATTGAAGAAAAATTGTAAATAGAGATGAATTTTCGGTGAGCATCAATACAGTTTCAGTCTCATAATACCACATTTAGTTTTAAGCTAATACATTACAAATAATAAAAAGCAATTACAAATAATGTGGTTTGAATCTAGTTTTTACTATTGTTATTCAGGTTGAGCAATTCCACAAAGTAGAAAGAATTGTGCAGGCATTTGTTAAAAAAAACACCAAAGCTTCCCTTCTGAGTTTATCTTATGCACTTCATACTTGCAGGGTTTTATGAAGATGTATTAACGTTATGAAGGGGCCGGCTTGGTGATCACAGCGAAACATGTTTTTTAAAGTTGGACTTCACCTTCAAGCCTATTTCATTCCGAAAAATTGTATTGAGAGAGTCTGATAATAGAAATTAATTGAACTTTTTTCGCTATTAATGAGAATGTGGCCACTTAGAAAAATAACTCCAAACTGGATCAAAGACCCTAAAACTGAATTACTTTTACACCATAGTTTGACTTCATAGGAAGACATTTCAGAGGTCTATACAAGGTTGAACAGGCATTCCAGCAAAAGCAAAGCCCTGACACATTCACGCTTCTTATCACTTTTTAGGGGGGTTTCATGAAGTGAATGCTTATATTTGTGGGCCATAGTAAATGTTTTGTCTACTGCAGAAGAAAAGGAAGCACAGTACATAGACGTTAAGGTCAATTTAAAAGAGTCAGCTTACTTCCTCCATCTCAGCCCTGCATAAAAACAAAATGTTCTTAAAGTCTGAACCAAGTCTACGCACAATCATATTGCACTTGAGACTTTCTAAATGGGACATGAAGCATTATGTTTTGTTCACAATAAATCTAAAATATGTTCTGCTACATATTACTTCAATATGAGTTTAAGAAGATCTCTTTTAAATTCAAACTATCACTTGCAGATGTTTTTCTGTCACAACTTTAAAAACGCTTGAATTAAACAACTGTCACATCTTATTTCTATGAAGCATAAATCCCTTTGGGTTTTCTAATTTGTAAGCAATTAAAAAACAGCACAATGGACGGTGAGAACTTGCAATGTGCATGAAAACATGAAAATAAATCATGAATCATGGCTTTAACTTTAGTAATGTTGAGTATCTTGAGATCAACGCGGACGCAATTATAACAAAACAAAACAAAACAGTGCAGTCCATATGAAACACTTTGGCAGTGAAGCAAATCACCTATTTCGGAAAGTAAAACCTCCGAGGTCTAAGCGAGCCACAGCAGCAACACTTTCACATTTTCCCTTTAATTATTGTAATCAAATACAGCAACAGAAACACAAATAGCCAAAGCAGTAAGTACAAAATCTCACCACAGAAATTGACTCCAAAAATAAAACCAGGAGCGGCTGTCATCAAAGCCTCTGAGAATGTATCGACTGAAATAAATCCCAGATGCAAGACCAGGCTTTGAAGATGCAATAAGGTCGGTGAGCATAAAATTACAATGCTGTCAAACCCAAAGTGACATTTTCCCCAACTAATACCAGAGGACAACAACTCAATCACTGCTGAGATGTCACAGTTAAGCCTAGGACCATAGACTGTATATATAAAGCCTAGGACAGACTTATTTATTTCCAAACTTTCACAAGGACTTCATCTTCAAGGCTCATTATGTCATCCAAAAGCCGACTAAAGAGACATTTAAGTGCTAAATGTTGCTTACGTTCGCATTCTCCTACTACCACTTTTTTAAAGCATTGATCAAATGTTTGATATTAACATTTGATCACCCAACAATGTTGGCCATAACAAACAAACCCATAGAAAGTCTCTCATCTCTAATTGCCCTTGTAGCCTCTTTAAGCTCATTGTTTTGGTTTTACAGCTATTTTACAACAAGGTTTCTTTCTTATTCAACTTGTTTCCCGGAACTCAAGTTCTTAATGAACAACCTTAGACAAACCCACTGCACACTTCCCACTAATCACCAAACACCTAAATATAACTTAATCCTAAAGACAACGAACTGTTTAGCAGAGACAAATATCCTTTTCAGGAGTTGGTGGAGACCAAATCTGAGCTAAAATAAAAATATAATGAAAGTAGCTCCATTACTGTTGCGTGTGTAAACAGGAAACTGGGTGTGTATTTTGTGATGGAAGTTGGATTAGGTGATGAATCGTGGGCTATAGGCGCACCACTGTAATGTAGCCGGGGAGCTAACTGCTAACTTGCTTGTCTGTCAACGTTAACTGTCATTTAGCTAGCTACATACCCTTGATAGTGCTGAGCTAGTTCAATCCATATGTAATAAATGTAAGAGGTGTAGAGTACGTGCTACCAGGGTTGGGGAGTAACTCGTTATAAAATTTATTATACGTTATCAAATGATGTTATCAAATTGAAAATCTGTCATTTTTTAACCACTAAATATTACTGAAAGAAAAATACGTAATTGAACCAAGTTACTAAAAAGCTGGTGATTACAAAGGGGGATTATTTATTTACATTTTTTTTTATTTTGTTGCCCAGTTCCAATCTTAAATTCAAGTTATATTGAAGTACCTATAATACAAGTGTTTTAGTCTTAAAATATTGTTGTTTCCAAAATATTATACAAAATATCACTTTTGATTAACTGTTCATTCTTTTTTTGATTAATATAGTGCATTTCTTTTTGTTAATATTATAATTTGTTCTGCTGTTTTTTAGCCTTTGTTATTTCTATATACAGATACAGAGGGAGTCATATGAAATGTCTCAGGGTGAAGCAGCAGAGTGAAGCAGCTGTACCTTGGAGATGAGCTCGTCGTGGTTGGCCAGGTGCGCCCGGCAGTGGATGCAGCTGTAGGTGCGGTGGCAGCTAGGCAGGTAAGCCTGGAAGGTCTTTGACTTGGTCATCTTCACCATGTCAGTGGGGCAGGGCTCCTCGCTGGTGTCCGGGCTGGCACTGGAAGAGTTGCAGCTCTGCTGGACTTGCTGACAGAAGAAGCACTGGAAGATGCAAGCCAAAGCCGCCGTTGTTGTGGAGTGGGTGTGTGGCACGCTCCACACAAACACCACAGGAGAAAATCAAACCTGCAGGGCCAAACGGAAAAGAAAATGTGGTGAGAGACGAGTCCCATACTTTCTATTTTTAGAGCTCATTACTTGTATTGCCTTCCCAATATTAAACTCTGCTTGTTCCTCAGAAGCAAGCATTTGATCTATTATGTGATCACACCCGCATGTTGTTGTCTACCAACGGGGCTGTGCGATGATGCAACCTAATATTATGACACGCCAAACCAACCATTGTTCGTGTAAAGCCACAGAACGCGTTTCACTTGATCACAAACTACTTTTTATTTAAAGTCTACATCAGGAGCATCAGGTTTTTCTGTTTGTTTGCATGACAGGAAAAGCATGTTTTTCACAAAATCTCTTTAAAGCAAGACAACTTCATTCACTTCAACGTTGTGTTTTATTATAGTAGGCTGGGGAGGCTGTAGCTCAGTGGGATAGGGCGCTGAAATTTGAATCAGGGGATAGCAGGTTCAAACCCCACTGCATGTCGTTGTGTCCCTGAGACACTTCACCCCAAATTGCTCTCGAGAGGATTGTCCACAGTATTGAATATGTAAGTCGCTTTGGATAAAAGCGTCTAACAAGTAATGTAATTATTATATTATTATTGGGATCTGTGAATCACTGTATTTAAAGTACAATTTTAGAATTTATATTATCATGTTTATTCACAATTATTATGGCATGCAATATAATAACAAATATGTCCTTGAACTGTTGATAATTACTAGGGCTGTCAGTCGATTAAAATATTTAATCGCGATTAATCGCATGATTGTCCATAGTTAATCGCGATTAATCGCAAATTAATCGCACATTTTTGATCTGTTCTAAATGTACCTTAGAGGAATATTTTTCAAGTTTTTAAAACTCTTATCAACATATGAGTGGACAAATATGCTTTATGCTAATGTTTATTATCATTTGAACAATGACAAATATCCTCATGAATATTAAACAACAACCTCTGAACATTACAAATATTCGCCTCAATTCAACCTGGGGCCCGTACTACGAAGCTGGTTCAACCTAACCTGGATATGTTTGAGTTAGCCGGTTGGCCTAATCCAAAACATACGCGCTCTCGCTAAACGGTCCTACGACGCTGGTTATCAAGTGGATCGCTCAAGCCAGCCGTTTCCTATCTAGTTAGGTGCGCGTTCACATGAAAGGGGTGGTATTTGGAGCATTCGACCAATCACAAACATGGAGAAGCCTACTGACAGCGCAGCGTCATACTTCCTGAATGAAAAGTGAACTTTACTACTAGTCAAAAATGAAGAAGTTAAACTTTAAACATCCATGACTTAAACACTTTATCCAGGATAAAAGCCACATAGGCCTGCAAGGTGAATACAGCTGGCAAAAGAAAAAGTGTTTGAATGCATACTTTAACAGGTTTATGATATCAATGCCCCGTCTAAAACACGATCTGACTTTAATTACATTTGTCTCGAGTGTTTCGTCAACTTAATGTGTTGCTTAAAATAATACTTCTGCATACAGTATGTGACACTGTAAGTGTTGCACGGCCAGATACGGCTCAAGAAGCTGACTCAGATAAGGAGATATATGATACATTATGATGTGATATGAATGATAATGGGACACATCGACGTCTGCACTCAGTGTACTTATGTTGTGGCAGATATTTAAATAAGCTTTCTTAACGCTAATGTTATAATAGTCAGATTGCTCTGAAGATGGAGGTGATATTCTATTAATGTTCACGTTGACACAGTCGGTGATTTTTGCCGGCCGTCTTTCCTGCAATGGCAGTTTTTCTGTATTTCCTTTCTCCTGCAATATGACTTGATCGCTTTAAACTCCGCACACTGAGCTCTGATTGGTCAGCAGGCGGTGCTTTCACTGAGTTGATCTCTTAGCCTGCAACCTAACCTGCTCCCGACCAGGTTAGCCGCTAAGCATAAGTTATCATGGAGATCTAGCCTGCTAAAAAGAGAACCAGCTTCGTAGGACCGGAAAGCCGGAGTTTTCCCTGAATTTAGCCGGCTAAGCGAAAATCCTGCTTCGTAGTATACCCCCCTGGAACCTCTCTCATACAATAATACAATACAAATGGTGTGTGTGTGTGTGTGTGTGTGTGTGTGTGTGTGTGTGTGTGTGTGTGTGTGTGTGTGTGTGTGTGATCATGATGGATCGTTGGAGCTATGTTAAACTCAAGGCATATGCTAGTCTAACGGGAGCTGCATGGACGCTGCAATCATGTTGCGCACTATCCGAGCTGAGTGTGCTGACTTTTCGTACAATGTCCCACTGTCTGGCTTCCTGCATTAAGTCAAGTGCTCGGCGCAGTTGTGGCGAAATGTCGCTCTGTTTTCATTTAAACAGCTCCATATCCGTTAGCGCAGCTAGCTAGCACCAGATGCTAACAACAACAATGCACGTAAGGTCTCTCTCTCGCTCGCTCCGGCCACACATACACACACCCTCCCGGTCCTCCCGATGGCCAGTCGGTGCCTGCCGGTGAGCGTGGAAGTGTGGTCTGCCGCAAGCGGGCAGCAGGAGCGGGGCTGTCAGCATCAGCTTGTAGATGGTATTTTAAACTCGATGCGCTCTGAAACTACGGGGCGGACGAGGAAAAAAAAATACACATGCGTTAATCGCGTTAAAATAATTAGTGGCGTTAATTTTTTTTTGCGTTAACGCGTTATTAACGCGTTAACTTGACAGCCCTAATAATTACACAGGAAACACTACAGTACATCGAGACATCAGTTTAACAAGATGTTACTTATGGTACTTGTTTTGGTAGCATCAAGCTATCAATTGATATGTGCTAGGTTTTCTAATCAACCAGAATACATGTATTTATTTATTTTATATTTGTAGTTTGGGCTATCATTTCTATCAATTATCCAACACACTCTCACTCCCTAAGCGTCCAGGAGCGACGTTTGGTCAGTGTCCGTGGCGTCCAGTTGTGCCGCTCCTTCAGCGTCATAAAGGGACGCAAATAACTTTCAACTGATTGCAATGTATTCCCATCTGCGGCGGGATTTGACGCTCATGGAAGCACGGCATTCGTTTGTGTCGGCTGCCCTTAAAGGCAATGTGAGCGTCCATTCCCATTGGATAACGGAGAATTGTAAACCCGGAAGTAAGTATTCCTCTTACTGTCGATTGATTTTACAGTGATATCTGCACTACTCATCGACTAAAAAACACCAGATTATCCTTGTTAATTACACAACATTGATTGGTTTAAATTGTGTGCAATGCTTTTGTATTTTTCCCCTTCGATTCGGAGAAACAAATGTTTTTTCTGAGTAAAGGATGGCAGAAGACACTACAGAATCCCCAGCTATCGTTTGGACTACACCATGTGCTCTGTTTGACAAACCCCGTGATAGTCCTCAAGCTCTGTGATTGGAGAGTGTGCTCCGAGGGTTACGCCGATGCTCGAACAGCACTTGAAATGGGATGGAACCATGCACGGCAGACTGTCCAAAACTGGATTTGAACGGGTCCACCACGTCCCCCCTCCCCCACCCTGTCCCCACTCCCCCACCCTGTCCCCAGAACTACACATGCTGGCTATTCTGTTTCGCAACATGTTCTCTATCTATGGCACGTCTCTACTGGGAGTTGTAGTTTTAAAAGACGTTTTCGTATTTCCCATAATAAGAAGTTGCCAGTATTAAACTGTGTACATCCCTGGAGGTTTAGGGGATAGGAAACCCTCAAATTTAAAACATATAATTAATAAATGGGTGAAAATTGCTTGTGCCCATAATGGGCAGCATTAATATATATACACACATGCCAGCTAAGGTCAGAAGAGCTTTATTTAACAGCTGGTCTTATGTTTGTGACCCCTATTGTTAATTGATAACATTACATTACATTAATTGATAAGCCTGAAACATGCACTTGTCAAGGTTCAGAGGCAACTTTTGCAAATATGGCAGTAGCCATAGATCAGCTTAAAATAAGATATACTTTATTGATCCCAAGTTGGAACATTTGCGTTACATCAGCATGTGTAACAGTTGTAAATATGCCGTGGTGTTTATTTGTAAATCATTTAGTATAATCACACAAATTCTGTGTTTTATATTTAACAATTCTGTGTTCTTTATTTATTGATTGTTCAATACCTGACAAGGCCGGAGATGAAATATCTACATACATCTTATAAGAGTATAATACATTATGCATAATATCAGTTAAAATAAGTGCTTCAACATAGTTAACATTGCTGGAGGTATGCACAAATATTGATAGATGTCTTGTAATGCACTATTGAGAAACCTGCGACCCAAGTTTTTCATTCAATGCAGAACTACACCATAGTTGTGTAGGCCTATATGATATGTCAATAAACCTTAGAAAATCTTGAAAGGGATGTGCAAAATAGTCATTATATACAGTCTTTAATTAACTATTAGTAGAGAATAACGAGTAATGAATATACTTTATAGGGATCCTATTAATATCTAATAATAAAAATAATGAAATTAAATAACATGCTTTAACCACTAGGTGTCCCTTTATATCAGCTGTGCACCTTTATGGTGTAAATACAGCCTATCTACCAATTGGATCAAATATAAAAGTCAGCTGAATTAGTGTTGATACTGCAAGGAGACGTATTGTGTGAAAAGAAATGTAAGATGTTGTTTAATGGCTGATATATTTATGATCCACGTCACGTTTTCAGTTCCTCATGTTTGTCTAGAAGTCTTCTCATCAGGGCTCTATAAATACAGAACTACGGCAGATATGTAATATTTAATGCAGCCGAACTGTGTATTACAATGCCGTTATGTGATGACTTTCAAAGAGAAAAGCAAGCACACTCGGAATAAAGTATTATTTAAAAAAAAGTTTTCGGTCTGTTTCCGGTATTTGTTAATGACGATGTGCTGTGAGATGTGAGACTGGAATTGCACAGGGGGAAATAACGTAGGCTATCTTTAGATGCGGATTTTGTTAAACTAATATGTTTGCGCTGTGGACCAACACTATACATTGACGGGGAAGGGGGTAGCAATAAAGATAACACCATTAAACAGTTACACAACATAACAGAAATAATATCGATAGCAGCGTCCCTAGCAACCACCTTGGTAACAATGAAAACGTCGTGATTTCCTGAAGTAATCTTCGTAATAACTAGCAAACTAAAGATCATGGACATCCACTGCACACATAATCTGAAATAACAACTCATATTTCTCGCATCAAATGACATCAAAACGCATTTTAATGGCCAAACTAACTTTAAAATTGGCATTTTCCACCGAGAATAAAACGAAGTTCGGCCATGTTTTCTTTTTCTGCAGGGAGAAATTTGAAGATCACGTGACATAGACGCCAGCCATTGGAATGAATAGTGAAAAAAACGGGGTTTGTCAAACAGAGCACATGGTGTAGTCCAAACGATAGCTGGGGATTCAGGGTAGTGTAGTGTCTTCTGCCATCCTTTACTCCGAAAAAATATTTGTTTCTCCGAATCGAAGGGGAAAAATACAAAAGCATTGCACACAATTTAAACCAATCAATGTTGTGTAATTAACAAGGATAATCTGGTGTTTTTAGTCGATGAGTAGTGCAGATATCACTGTAAAATCAATCGACAGTAAGAGGAATACTTACTTCCGGGTGTACAATTCTCCGTTATCCAATGGGAATGGACGCTCACATTGCCTTTAAGGGCAGCCGACACAAACGAATGCCGTGCTTCCATGAGCGTCAAATCCCGCCGCAGATGGGAATACATTGCAATCAGTTGAAAGCTATTTGCGTCCCTTTATGACGCTGAAGGAGCCTAGGAGCGTCACAACTGGACGCCACGGACACTGACCAAACGTCGCTCCTGGAAGCTTAGGGAGTGAGAGTGTGTTGCAATTATCATGAACAGATTGTACTGTTCAACTGTCAGAAATCTTTTGGTTTGTTAATAACCCCCGTGTTTGGAGAACTACGTGCAGACTACAGCAGCGAGTGCAGTTCGTCAAGTTGAACCAGGAGGACAGTCTGGAAAGTGTAACTGATGTCCAACCCAAATAATTGGAGTTATAACTTTGCTGTTTGCCTTTGTAGTCCTTTACAAATGAGATTGGCTAACCTCTGGGTTTGTTTACGGACTGTCGGATCATCTGCTCGTGTTTCTGGCCCCGCCGGACTCCTCTTTAGTGTCCTCGTTCCCCGATCTCTGCAGAAGTGTTCAGGTCCTCTACTCCAGTGAAAGTTCCAACTCTGCAGTGAAGAAACAAGAACATATATAAACATACATAATGTACTATGAGAAGTACACATTTCAGAATCATATACATATCACTGGATTATAATTATTGATGATTTAATGGCCTCACTTATATGATGATTTAATGAATTTGTATATTGCTTAATATAATATATCAATAATAATATTTTTGGATGATATATATTTTGTTATTAATAAAAACATTTAAAGTACCCCAATATATTCCAGCAATTTTTTTACTCGATACAATTGTCATCACTTACAGAAACCCAAATTATAAAACATGTGATCCAAGTTGTATACAAATGGAACATGATTTGATCAAACGCATACACAACAAAACAGGGGAGACAAAAAGCACACAGAAAAATACAGCATAACAGAAAATACTGTTATAGAAGCTTCCTCATGTTGTCAGGCTGAGATGAGTTTAATATGCCTGCAGGGGAGTCAGGTTTACAATAACATCTATTCAGGCGTACAAAAAAATACTGTGTTTCAACACACAACATGATTTACTGTCGAAAAGCAAAACACTTTTAAACCAACATTAACATCGTCAGACACATTAGGTTTTATCCAACCTATTCATATAATATATTTTCGCTCCCTCCTTTAATATGTATTCTACCCTTTAAGACCCTTATCATTTATCTTGTTTATTGACTTATCAGATTTGTTTGTGTGTTTGCGTCCGTTGTTTAGAGGGTTATGAAACCTCAGCTGTCAAAGAAAGTGTTGTCCCTGTAAATATGTGTTTGGAGATGTAAGCTGTTAGTGTCTTGTATCCATGTTATCATCAAATCATAGCTTTAAAATCGTGTTGATGCTGCTCTGATCTTTATGGCACGACTTTGATTTTGGTGAAACTGGATCATATTTCAATTGAAAAAATGTGCCCCTGCTTTAGTGCCGACCTGTAGCATGCGAGTCATAAAAATACAATTTGATGAACTGATTGATAACGCTGCATTATTAAATAGTTGGCCACTTGGGGGCAGCAGAAGAAGCTATAAAAAAAAGATAACATAAAAAGTGCTGCAGGAATTATTCCTAAAACCTCATACAAGCTCAGTGGCTAACACAACATTTTAACATATTCTTTTACGACATAAAATACGTTAGTTAATTTACCCACTTTTAATTTGGAAGCTTTTATGGGTCTTGGAATAGGCCTGGCTAACAATTATTACATTATTATTACATTACTACATTGCATTTAGCTGACGCTTTTATCTAAAGCGACTTACAATAAGTGCGTTCGACCAACAAAATACAAACTTGAAGAAAACAGAATCATATAAGTACATCAGGTTTCATAGAGCTAAAACATTTCAAGTGCTACTCAACTGGCTTTAGGTAAGCCAGTCCTTTATTAGTATATAAGTGCTTTGTTAATAGTTCTATCGCTCGAAGTGGAGTCGAAAGAGATGAGTTTTCAGTCTGCGCCGGAAGGTGTGTAAGCTGTCCTGATGTCAATGGGGAGCTCATTCCACCATTTTGGAGCCAGGATAGCAAACCCACGTGTTTTTGCTGATGGGAACTTGGGTCCCCTTCGCAGCGAGGGTGCAGCGAGCCGTTTGGTTGATGCAGAGCGGAGTGCACGTGCTGGGGTGTACGGTTTAACCATGTTCTGGATGTAGGAAGGGCCAGATCCATTCGCAGCATGGTACGCAAGTACCATAGTCTTGAAGTGGATTCTAGCAGTTACCGGAAGCCAGTGGAGAGAGCGGAGGAGCGGCGTGGTGTGGGAGAATTTAGGAAGGTTGAAGACCAGACGAGCCGCTGCATTCTGGATGAGCTGCAGAGGTCGGATGGCACATGCAGGTAGACCAGCCAGGAGGGAGTTGCAGTAGTCTAGGCGTGAGATGACGAGAGCCTGGACCAGAACCTGCGTCGCTTTCTGGGTCAGCTGGGGACGTATCTTCCTGATGTTGTAAAGCGTGTATCTGCAGCAACGGGTTGTAGCAGCTATGTTTGCAGTGAAGGACAGGTTGTTATCTAGGATCACACCCAGATTCCTTGCAGTCTGAGTCGGGGAAACAATAGAGGTGCCGATGTTGATTGTTAGGTCAAGAGTGGGACAATCTTTTCCCGGAAGGAAAAGCAGTTCAGTCTTGTCAAGGTTGAGCTTGAGGTGACATCCACTGAGAGATGTCAGCTAAACAAGCAGAGATGCGTGCGACGACCTGGGTCTCTGAGCGGGGAAAGGACAGAATTAATTGGGTGTCGTCAGCGTAGCAGTGGTATGAAAAACCATGCGGGCTAATGACAGATCCGAGCGAGTTTGTGTACAAGGAGAAGAGGAGGGGACCAAGAACAGAGCCCTGAGGGACCCCTGTAGTTAATTGACAAGGGTCGGACTCCGACCCTCTCCAATTAACCCTGTAGGTGCGGTCTTTGAGGTATGAGGTGATGAGGGAAAGTGCAGAGCCTGAAACTCCAAGTTCTTGGAGAGTGCGAAGGAGGATCTGATGATTCACCGTGTCGAATGCAGCAGACAGGTCCAAAAGGATGATGACAGAGGAGAGGGAGAATGTTTTAGCAGTGTGCAGTTCCTCAGTGACAGCAAGGAGGGCAGTTTCTGTGGAGTGACCTGCCTTGAAACCAGACTGGTGCGGATCCAGAAGGTTGTTCTGATGGAGATAACAGGAGAGTTGTTTAAAGACAGCGCGTTCAAGTGTTTTAGACAGGAACGGGAGTAGAGAGACAGGCCTGTAGTTTATAACATCAGACGGGTTGAGAGTGGGTTTCTTTAGGAGAGGGTTTACTCTTGCCTCCTTGAGACTGTTTGGAAAGTGACCAGAAGTTAGAGAAGTGTTGATGAAATGGGTGAGAAATGGTAGAATATCAGGAGCGATAGTCTGAAGGAGGTTTGAAGGGATAGGGTCCAGAGGACAGGTGGTAGGGCGGACAGAGGTAATGAGGGTAAGAACCTCACTTGGAGAGAGAGGGGGAAAGGAGGTCAGTGTGTGGGTGAAAGGAGGGTCTGGTGACCAGGCGGTGAGTAGAGGTAAGTCAGAAAAAGAAGAGCGAATATCATCAACCTTTTTTTCAAAGTGGTTAACAAAGTCGCTTGACGGAAGGGAGGAGGGGGAAGGGGCTTTGGGGGGGTCCAGGAGGGAGGATAAGATGGAAAATAGTTTCTTGGGATTGGAATAGGAAGATTGGATCTTATCTTGAAAGAAAGTGCTTTTTGCCTGAGAGATCGAAGCAGAGAAAGAGGAGAGGAGAGCCTGATAGGTTAGGAGGTCGTCTTGGTGTTTGGATTTCCACCGTTTCTGCTCTGCTGCCCGAAGGACGGTTCTATTAGCACGCAGTGCGTCATTTAGCCAGGGAGCAGGAGGGGACTGACGAGCCTGCCGAGATGTGAGAGGACAGAGAGAGTCCAGAGAGGATGAGAGAGTAGAGAGGAGAGTTTCTGTAGCAGAGTTTGGAGGCAGAAGTTGGAACGAGTCAGAGGAAGATAGGGCTGAGAGCACCGATGAGGCAAAGGTAGAGGGGGAGAGGGAACGAAGGTTACGGCGGACAGGTGCAGGATGAGAAGAGATTAGTTTGTTATGTTTGGAAAGGGGTAGAGAGAATGAAATAAAGAAGTGATCGGATGTGTGGAGCGGGTTTACAGAGAGGTTAGAAGTAGTGCAGTTCCTTGAGAATATGAGATCAAGGACATTGCCAGCTTTATGAGTTGGTGGGGATGGAGACAGTGAGAAAGCAAAGGCGGTTAACAGAGATGTTAGTTCATCTATCTTCCCTGTCTGGAGGTTGAAGTCTCCGAGAAGTACAGCGGGAGGACCAGTTTCAGGGATGTGTGAGAGGAGATGATCTAATTCCTCCAAGAAGTCCCCCAAGGCGCCTGGTGGACGGTAGAGAACAACAATGGTTAATTGTATAGGATGGGTTACTGTGACGGCATGGAATTCAAAGGTGGAAGGAGTGAAGTTAGGTAGCTTGAAGAGGGAAAAGCTCAATTTGGGAGAGAGCAGGAGACCAGTGCCACCTCCTCTGCCAGTGGGTCTGGGTGTATGGGAGAAGGAATATGCTGTGGAGAGAGCTGCTAGGGTGGATGTGTTGGATGGAGTAATCCACGTCTCAGTGAGAGCAAGGAAATCCAGAGACTGCAGGGAAGCGTAGCCAGAGATGAAGTCGGACTTAGGAACAGCTGACTGGCAGTTCCACAGGCCGCCTGTAACTAGATGTTGGATGTCAGTGGAGCATGTGGGATAGACGAGAGCAGGCCGGTTATATCGATTACGAGATACACGGGGCCAGTGATAATTGCGAGAAGACACATGAACAGGAATGGAGAAAATACACATGATTATAGCATGAGGGGCTAAACAACCAAATAAAATAAAACACCAGCGATACTTAGTTCAATCAAAGTAGGATTTGCCTCCTCTTTGCCACCCTCGTGACTCGAGCAGGACTCTATTGTCGTTGTCAGTCTTACTCCAGCAGGACTCTATTGTCTTTGTCAGTCTTCGTCTGACGCTCCAGGAAAGTGCTACCTAAAAATGGACACCTGATTGCTGAGTTCTCACAGCTGTGGGGCCACGCCCCTTTAATTAGTTAACTCTCTGCAGCTGGTGGCCCTCAAAAGGAAATCTAGACTGGCTCCCTCCTGAGTTGCTATTGTGTCTTTTCAGTGGCCCAATGGTTTTACAATTACATTAAACCCTAAGTTATAAAGTTATGAGTTTAACCCTTAATACAGTTACACCTACTCAATAAAGCTCTTTGTATTCTACAAATGTTTAAATCAAAGTTAACCCTAGCAGTCAGTTAGTTCAGTTTTAAGGTTTCAGTCAAATTACTTGTCCCAAGTTTCTGCCTGACAGATACTGTAGCGGTTTTGAGATTTAAAATCACAATTTCAGTCAGATCAACTACAGAGCATTTATACAGAGTACACACACTGAAACAGAGAAGTCTAAAGACAGAATGTTACTCACACAATTCTAGAAGTCACCAGTTGTTATCCTGTCAAAAT